AAACGAGCGACTGCTCACGATTGCTAGGCTAGCGGAGTATCGGCTGAACGCACCCAATTTCGATAACGAGAGATTTGCTTGCAAAAGAATAGTGCTGTGGAAAGAAAACACTACACGGCGCGGCGTTGCCACATGTCCACGTCGCGTACAGCTGATCGAAAGGCCGACAAAAAACGCGACGATTCATCAACTTTTGATTGAATTTTTGGCCTTATTACACGTCAACGTCGTTTCGTCTTATACTTAACAAGTGCTAGAAGAATCAAATAATGTTATTTTCAGTTTTTTGAACTTGTTTCTTTATAGACAGTGAGTGAAATTCTCGAAAAATGTAATAAATGTATGTTTCCGGTACAATTTCCCATAAAACCTATGTTAAAAATGCCAACTTTGAGATTTAATATCTCAAAAACTAGACGTCAGATCTTCTCAAAATTGCAAATTTAAGCGTATTTAGATTTTTTTTATAACATATATTTAATTCGGATTTTTTTCTTTGACATGCTCTGATGGCCCAATCACCTTAAACTGCGAGTTTCCGTACGATGACAAAATTACTTATATCTACTTGTATGTACATATACAATATAAGTTTATTTCTATATTTCATAAATCTGTAATTTGATGTAATTGTTCAAATACAACTTTAGGTTACCTCTCTACTTTTGCAATCTACATCTCTTTCATATTGCAAGAATACTTTTTACTAAGTTCAGAATTAAATTTGCATTTTACACTTACCTATATTTTTGCATGTGAAATGTAGCCAGGTATTAGGCACAAGCAAATCTGATAAATAAATTGAAAATAGGTTAAGCACGTTTCCCGTGTTAATGAACCATTACGTAATGCGTTCCGAAACCACCACATATTCTACGTCTCACCCCCACTCTCCGGCAGCTAAACGATATACAGTTTTTCGCTTTTTTTAGCAAAACCGTGATCTAACAAACGTTTGAATTATAGTATATTCGGAACTAACAAACGATTTCGCATCGATTAACCACGGTTTGAATCGAAAATTGTAAAGAATTCTATATTTACCGGCTAAATTAACACTAAAAATTATTTTCGTGATTACGTAAAAACTATATATTGGTAAAAGTTTACAATAACTTACACAGCTCGGATTACTTTGACATATGTTGTCAAGGACATAATACTGAGTAACTTTTCCTTATAACTTAGTCGGCGGTCGCTGCTTATTAAAAAGTTATAAACAAAAAAAGTTTGAAAAATATAGCAGCTATTTTGAGTATTGGAAAGCATAAATGACTAATATATATGTCGAAATAGTTCACGCATACACTTTTCACGCGAACCGAGGTTCACCCACACCCCCCCCCCTGCTTTCGGGGGAGGTGCGGTAGCCCTGAAATAGTTTACGCATGGGTTAGTCGACGCGCTTTAAACAATTAAATACTGTTAAAGCGCGTCATCTAACCTATGTAGATTAGTGACGCGCTTTAAACAGTTAAATACTTGTAAAGCGCGTCATCTAACCTACGTATTTTCCAAACTTTTTTTGTTAATAACTTTTTAACGAATAACGAGCAACGGCTAAAACCTTCTGAAGGTCACTCGGGGTCATGACCTTGACAACATATATCAAGGTCATTGAAATCGGTGAGGTCGCCAAACTTTTTTTTGTTAATAACTTTTTAATAAAAAGCGACCGCCGAATAAGTTATAAGGAAAAGTTACTCAGTATTATGTCCTTGACAACATATGTCAAGGTCAAAGTAATCCGAGCTGTGTAAGTTATTGTAAACTTTTACCAAACTATTAACTAACGAACGTTCTAATTAGTCTAACAATCAATAACAAACGACTAACAATCGATTCGTAAAAAAAATGTAAGTCGAAATTGTCCGGCTAACTTCTATGAGGTCTCAATCTCTCGTTGAACGGAGTATAGGACTCTAATTTATATGTATAGGACCATATATTTTCCGATGTTGGCAAGTATAATTCAAATTCAGTGCATTGAAAAACATATATGTTTCCTAATGCGAATACTGTAAAAGAATATTCAAGAATAGTGTTTCAGAAGCGTACACGCATTTCGACCATTCAAAATATATGTATACATAATATTGCGAATGAGTTCAAGAAGAAAGCCCGATTGGTCGAAACCTTATTGTTAAGTTCTACGAAAAGTGTGTGTGCCCTGCTTAACCAATACGTTTCTTGTGCGTTGGCTCACGTTACGTTACGCTACGTGACCGTACGAGTCTTGTGCGGTGGCTCTAAAGAATGAAATAAAAAAAACGTTCAGTGAATTTAAAATATTCGATGTATATCCTTCATTGAATATATTAATATTTATATATCTCATCTTTAACGCATTATTGAACCAATGATGATATCAATTGAAGCACATTTTTGGATGAAATTTATTTATAGCAAATATATTTATACGATTTATACAAAGATTAGAAGGCCATGTGTATTTAACAATTTAAAGAAAGAAAATTCTTTCTTAGATTATGTATATGTACAATAACAAAATATTTTCTCTACGGTAGTGTCTCGCGCCAAGTACGCGCGAAGCGAGACGCACCGTGACTCTTTTACGCGAACGCATGAGTTGCGAGTATCCGAGATTTTAAGATCTGTATATGTACAATAACAAAATATTTTCAGCGAAATAATATACTTACAGACTATATTTTTTCCGATATAAGAACAGATATATTTTTTTACGTAATATACATAGTATATATATACAGGGTGTCCGAAAAATCGCCTACTCCACTTCGGGAGGTGATTTGGGACCCAAAAACAAGCAAAAAAGTTCATACAAACATAGGTCCGGAAATAAGCCGTTTCCGAGTTATAGCCACTTTTATGTTCAAAAATCGTAATTTAGAATCCGCTTGGCACCCCTCTTTCTTAATTATTTCTTAAATTAAAAATTTTTATTTTTAAATATTTTTAATTTTTTTATTTTTTTTTTCAATTTTTCAATATTTGTAAATACGATTACATTATTTTTAAAAGAAATCAGTTGTTTTCACGCCTATTCAAAATCAGTAAGTAAATCACGGCTTTTCAATAAGTTTCAAATTATTATTTAACAACACCTTACTTTTAGGTTGTATCTAATCTTTCTGTATTCATCAATGGATCGTTTAAGTTTTAATGAATTAGCTGATATTTAAAAATGAAAATTTTTAATTTAAGAAATAATTAAGAAAGAGGGATGTCAAGCGAATTCTAAATTACGATTTTTGAACATAAAAGTGCCTATAACTCGGAAACGGCTCATTTCCGGACCTATGTTTGTATGAACTTTTTTGCTTGTTTTTGGGTCCCGAATCACCTCCCGAAGTGGAGTAGGCGATTTTTCGGACACCCTATATATATATATATATTTGAATGTTACATATGAATTGGGGTATTCAACATTGCCTCCTAAGTTTTAACGTTTATTGTATATTAGCAATATATTTACTGTAAATATAAAATATGCTACTCTCTTTCTCTGCCACTGATTATAAGCAACTTTTGTTTGTTGTTCTTTTCACTTATTAGTAATATTTACCACAACAAAAATACAAGCAATATAATCTTTACTCAAGCTTAAATATTAACTTCAGTAATTTTGTTCGAAAGTTCTGCTTAAGAAACTTAGCATTGCATACTCATATTAGAAAATTAATTTAATTAATTAATTATTTAATGATATAGTAATTTATGCATGGTGATAATAATATACAATTTACATTTATCTAAAAACATCTTGTATCTTTGATTTTAACATCACTTCTAACATTACTTTACGATGCCCATGCCTCTAACTCTTTCAAGTCGTCGTCCTCTTCCGGTTTAGCTTCTATAAATAAAATTTTAATATTTTATTACTCTAATTTAAGACCATAAATCGATGCCATAAATTATAATAATTTTTTCAGATATGCGTGACACAATTGTTCATATTTTTATATTTTTATAATATATGAGAAATTTATACCATTATAAGAATAATAGTTACTTGTGCGAATTTTGCTTGGCGCAACAGGAACTGAAGTTGGTACTGCTGGTAGTTCATCTGTCGTTGTATCAATACCAAGTAATTCTTTATCAAGCTGTTCTTGTTGAAGTTCCTCTAGCTCCTTTTCTAACTCGTCCTCATCAGCATCCTGGCCAAATGCTACTGGGTTAGATATGGCATCTGAAATTTCTCTAGCCACATCTTGTTGCTCTGCTATATCATCCATCATATCGTGTACTTGGTCGACATCCCTATAGTATAAATATAACAAATATATAATACAAATATAACAAAAAAGTAATTTAAATATAACAAAAATATAAATACATTATTTAATACATAAATTATTGTATATAACTCAGACGTATATTTTATATATTTATTTTCATATTTAAAGAAATAACTTTTTCATTTTTAACATATCCACCTTATATTAAGATATTACTTTCAGATAACCTAAAGATTATATTGAAAAATAGCCAATTACTAATAATGGTAAAAATGTAAAAATCTTACATATGTTGATGCGCAGCCTTCATCGCATCTGCGGCACCCTTCATGGTAGTAAGAACAGCGGTATTTGTATTTGCACTCTCCAGTGCTTCTCTTTGCATTTCAATCGTGGACAGTGTGCCATCAATTTGCTGTAACTGCTTTTCATATCGTTTCTTTCTTTTCAGTGCTTGAATGGCAGCTAAAAGATATATAACATTCTTAATGCTTAATTAAATCATATCCAGTAAGCAAAATGTTAGCAATATGCTAACAGTTTGTCAGTCAATTTGTGGCATCAACTTTTGTCTTTAATTAAGTTTGTGTTCTACTAGCAGAGCCTATTGACATAATTTTATTAATAAAAATCAAGCAGAATCTGTCATTTCAAATAAAATATGTCATTTAAATGATTATAAAAACAGCAGATTCTGCCTGGTTTCTGCATTAAATTTGCCAGAAGTATTCTGTCAGCAGATTTTATTACATTCTTTTATATTCTGCCGGCAAAACTTATAGCAGGTAAAAATATGTTTTCGACATATTTGGATTTACATGGACATATTATTTGAATACGAAGAAGTAATAAGTATCCAGAATGTAATTAAAGCATAAAATTTAAAGAATAAAATTTATTGCAGCATCAATAGAGATTTATATTTACCTTATTTTCCAATGTAATCATCTTGCTTTTCAATACACTTGATATTCCACAAGTTTATTTATGCTTTCAGAAAATTAATATTTTTGAGTCTTGGCCATGCGTGCATTATTGTTTCTTTCATATTTCGGTCAATGGTAAATTGATCTCTTAAGACATCTTTGAGTATACCAAACAGATGGTAACCACTAGAGACCAGTTTGCAGTGCCGTTTTTCCTACTCCAAGCATGTGCTAGCGGCCGAGCGTCGTGAGAATAATTATATAAATACATAAATATATTTGCTACGTTACACCGCTAGACCGCACTGTGTAGAAGGTACTTCTCACGGCTGCTAGCACGCGCTTGGAATGGGAAAAACGGCACCGTGATCCGATCTCTAGTAATCACTTGTTTCAGATAATGACTATTTATATGATTCATTCAAAAATGTCTTAAGAAATCCTTGATTTAACATTGACCACAGTGTGAAAGAAATGATATACGTAGCTAAAAGAACAAGGAACTTTTTTCTGATAGCATAAATAAATTTGTGAAATGTTGAACTAAATGCGTTGAAAACCAAAGAGAATATATTGAAATAATATATAAACGTAATCTCTATTGATGCTTCAATAAATTGCATAAATATATTCCACATAATTATTGACTTATCGTCATACATACATACATATACATATATATATATATATATATATACATATATATATATATATATATATATATATATATATATATATATGTATATATAGCTTTTAATTTTAAGTGACGAGTTGAATTAGACACACAACTATACTAAATGTAGATATCGTTTAAAAACATAATGTAAGCATAAGAGAGACGATAATAATTCAGAATGACAAATAAAGCGCAAATGAAAGAGATAAATACACATAACAATCAATCAAACTGACAGTTCAGTTGTAAAAGTTCAGACTCGAAGTATGTAAGTTGCAAAGGACGCACAAGTTATATATGCTACCTCGCTTGTTCTTCGACGCATTCTTCTTCGCTATTAACACTTCATTGTCTATTTTGCTCTCTAAGAACTCCTGCTTCTTTATCAACATATCCTCCGTTTCGCGTAATTTCTGAATCGCCTCGGCCGTCGAGGGAGCAGCCGGATCCTTCTTGCCGCCGAACACCTTGCTGAAGAAGCTCATCGTGTCGCGTCTCCGATTTATCGGATACTTAAAAAAAACACTTCTAATCACACGACGATAAACACTGGTACGTACTTCGAGGTCGAAATCGAAAGCTTATCCACTGCTACGAGATCACTGTCGCCATATTCTTCTCATATTCAACTCAACAAATACGGACTTACGTCATACATCTGTTCCTTTTAACTGCACTATCTTGTATCCTCTGCACTCGAAAAAAGAAAAATGTACATTTCGTATTATGATAGAAAAAGAGAGGGCGATAAGAAAGTGCAGTGAATAGGCGCTAGTAAGAATGTATTTCATGACTCATTGATTTGTCATCGTTTTGTAGGTTCAACAAAAAGAAACCTTTCGATCATATCCTTTTCGCAAAACATCTATAAATAAGACAATTTTATAAATGAATTTAAATTAATAGCGTGAGAACGCTATATTTGGTGCTGTTTGTGAGATGAAAGATATGCTGTTTCTTTAAAGTAGGTTTTCATGGGCAGTGAAATGCAGCAGAAGGGGGCCCTATTCTTGAAAAATATCGCATACGATATGTCATCATGAATATCACACTCTGCAACCAATAGCACACTTGCAAAGTATGATTTTCTGGTGACATTCCTAAAATATCATATGCGATATTTTTCGAGAATAGAACCCCAGCAGTTTAGTAATTACCTAGAAATTACTTAAAGCCAGTGGCACACGGTGCATGTTTTCCTGCTGGATTAGGCTTGTTCGCGTTGCTTGAAATCTCCAAACATTTTTGCACTTGAAATGAGATAAATATATATTCGGCCGTTGGAAAGAGAGAAAGCGAAGATGCTGAGTGTAAAAAGTGCAAGCAACGCGAACAGACCCTGCTTGCAATTTAGTAAATTACTATAGCACCACTCAGCACTCAGGATTTCTAGTAATTTACTAGATCGCAAGCAATCCAGCAGGAAAATATGCTCCGTGCAGAGAGAAAGATGAGAGTGGTCATGCCCGCGTTTTGGCTGTACCCGTATCCTGTCGGTATGTGCACGTTTTTGTGGTTCTCTTCCGTGCTATGTCCACTATTTTGTAGTAAAATGTCAACGATTTTGGAGTTTTTTTCATGTTATGTTCACGATTCTTTCTCTCTGCTCCGTGTGCCGCTGACTTTAAGGGCCCGGACACACACTTCTGCACAACGCATAATGCGTAAGCATAAAGGCGTGTCCTCTGTCTCGCGGCATGTATTCCTTGCACTCGCGTAAACTTTAATTTGTTCCTCCAGCCTATATTAAGGAGGTTCGATGGCTTCATCGGAGGGAGTAGTGGGACGCGGGGGTTCTGGAAACAGCGCACTAGCGTTTGAAGTAGTGGGAATGAAAGTGATTGCTCTGATTGGTCGCCGCGTGTATAATGCGTGCTGCTGTTCACGTCGTTCACGACCATGACAGTCTATGCAGACAAAAAATCAAGCAATTTATGCTTTAATAATTAATTTTTCTACGAAATGTGCGGTAATCTTCCCCTTTCTTTCGCTCATTTATTTGTAAATTATTAAGTTACATGTGCAAATTTCTTTTTCTTTATCATTTGCATTTTTTCTTGCACTTATTTCATTCTGAAGGTATATGCAATATGTCATTTCTCATAAAAACCATAAGAACCTATGTTAAAAATGCAGCCAGTTTCATGCAATTTTAATGTTGTTCTGGAATGCAAAATAGAATTATGTGAATTTTTTGGGAATTTTTCATCGTCCCGTTTTGAAATAAATCTACTCCTAAAATTGTACTTTTTAGGTTTTTGGAGTAGATTTTTTTCAAAACGGGACGGTGAAAAATTCCCAAAAAATTCACATAATTCTATTTTGCATTGCAGAACAACATATTAAAATTTCATGAAATTCTCTGCATTTTGTTGTAGCCATCGAACCACCTTAAAAAAAAATTCACGAATCTATGTAACTTTTATTTTATGATAAATCTTATTACGGATTCGCAATAACAAGATTTCTCATAAAATAAGTTACATAGATTCGTGAATTTTTTTTTAATATACTCTTTATATAATAATTAATGCAGTGCGCTACAGAACCTGAAATTTTGCATTTTTGCTTTTATAAATTTATAAAGGTGAAATTTCATGGGCAGTGAAAAGTAGCAGCAGATTGTACTGATTGGCTATAAAATAGAGAAGTTCTCGAGTTCCTAGAACTTCTCTATTTTGTAGCCAATCAGTACGATCTGCTGCTACTTTTCACTGCCCATGAAATTTCACCTTAATAAATAAAATACGGAGTTAAAGTGCAGTTTAAACTGCACTAGTGCATAAAGTGCACCTGAATTTGCCTGGGTCTCCACTCTTTTATCAAGTGATCGGCGCGGCGCTTAGGCTGAGTTTCCACTCAGCGCGTCACGCATCGCGTCGTCCGAGTTGAACCAATCAAAACATCCCATTTCGATCCCGTCACAAGAATGTAATGAAATGGGATGTTTTGATTGGTTAAGGGTCGACAGGAGTAACACTACCGACCTCTGTCGGGTTGCTTAGCTGCGAGTCCGTATTTTATTTATTATAAATTTTTTAAGAGCCAAAATAGAAAATCCGGCTCTGTACCAGCTTGCGGCTGATCTTACTGATTAAAACGAGCATAAGTGAAATGAGATTCGTTAATTAATTTGGCTAAAATTTGGGACAAGCCGTTCCTAAGCAGCTTTGCAGGCTTGCTTAGAGCTTGCGTCGGAAATGACGTCATAAAATGAAACGTTTTGATTGGATAACTCATGACGCGGCGTCGTGACGCGTCGCGCGTCGCGTCACGACGCCGCGTTAGGGCCAAAGCACATATGACAGTCGTAGTCGTGGACGTAAGTAACGCACAAGCTTTGGCGTATCTTGATTTGTCAGGTCGAGGACTACGACCGTCGTATATCGCTACGCCATGTTATGTGCTTTGGCCCTTACGCTCCTAATCAGAGAGAAACCTGAGAGCGGCCATCCCGCTTCGGGGGACGCCTGTCCTAATCTGCCCTCTGAGAAAGTGGACGTCAACTACGGCGTTACGCTAGGTAACGATCAGAGAGATCTCGGGTAACGATACATGGGTTCTTATCCGTGCTATGGTTCGTGTCCGAACTACTCAGATGGAGGGGATGTGCTGGTCGCGCAAGCCCCTCCTGTGTCAGTGTATGTACGCTCGGCACTCGGCAAGCTTCGCGCGGGGAGAGAAGGGCAGACATACGATCTGCTGTTTCCTTCTCTCTTGAGCTGTCAGAGGCCACGCATTTCGGGTATCGCCTCTCATGTCTCGCCGAGTGCCGAGTCTCGAGTTGGCAAATCGACGATGCGCTATGTTACATTTATGTTTATATTTACGAGTTTTAATTGTTATATTTATAAATATTGCAATTATATTTACAAAAAAATTGCAAATTAATAAATAAATTTTATTAAACATAAAATCGCGTATGATCATGTACTTCCGTAGTTTTTGTACCGTTAAAATTAAACATAAAATTAATTAATTAAATAAATATTTATAAACATAAAAACTAAAATTTGTAAATGTAATGTATAGAAATTCCCGTTCTGGCCAATATGCTTTTTTATCTAGAAATAAAGTCATATTAAAAACATTAACTTTGGGATAATATTTAAATTTAATATTTAAATGCATAATAATAGTAAAATATTAACTATCGAGAAAAAAAAGTAGTTTATAGTGTTCTTTTTACTCTTATTAAATTTGCCAAATCACGAGCACCAAAAGAAGGATATTGGATTAAAATAAAAACAATTTATTATACAAATAATGCACACGGTTAATGTTTCGACTATAGTTAGTCTTCTTCGGAACGGATTATTACGAAAGAAGAAGATAAATATCAAGAAACATAATAATTAATGTTCATTTAACATACTAAAACATTAAACATTAGTCTAGACTAAAACATTAAACAATCACCTAACAATATAAACAAAATAAACAAATAATCTAATTGAATCACAAATATAAAAACGCCGGAATAATCGAATGAAACCATGGCAAGATTATTTATATTGAGAAGTGGTAAAATCTCTTCCGTCAGGAAGAGAATGTAAAAAATTATTAACGGGGGTATTTTGATTTAAAAGATTTTTAAAATATATATCTTGCAGGAATTTTTTATAGGGAAACAAAGAAAGTGAATAACGTTAAACTTTGCATATTCACTTCACCTTATTTTAAAATTTTATTTTTATTTTTTAAGTAACAAAAATGCTTTTCCTTTCTATTATATTATAGGTATTCTGGTCACTAGAAGGTATAAATGACAGACGGTGTAAATAATTCTAGCTGTTCTACAGGTATTTAAAACGCAAAAAGCTAAAATTTTCTTATTCAGAAGAAGTAATTGTGGCTATCGTCTGAACTAAAACTAAACCAATATTTCCATTCTAGGCAGCCTTTTTATCAAAAATATTATTAATTAATATTAAATAAACAATTTACGGTCTGAACTTGTATTTTATAGTAGCCTAATAATATTTTTTATATACTATATTCACATATTTTTTCAACCTTAATAAACTACGCGCCGACTAACTTGTCAGACTTATAACACAGCTCCTATTGGAGTAGTAAAATCTCCTCATTCCCCTCTAATTAAATCGATTTAAATAATAGTAAAGAATTTACTACTCCAACACAGGAGCTGTGTTGTAAGTCTGACAAGTTATGTCGGCGCGCAGTTTATTAAGGTTGGAAAAAATATACGTGTAGTACACAAAAAATATTATTAGGCTATTAAGATCCAAGCTCGGACCGCCGTAAACGGCTTATTTAATATTGATTGATTGTATAACGGTCACATAAAACGGGGGGTCTTATTTCTCTTATATTATTAAAAATATTATAACTTTTTTTTAAAATTTTGTTAGTATTTTATTAAAAGAAAAAAACTAATAAACGTATAATGTTTATTCTAGTTCAGACAATAACCACACTTATTCTGAATAAGAAAATTTTTTGTTTTTGGGTTTCTGATACCTATAGAACAGCCAGAATCATTTACTCCGTCTGTCATTTACACTTTCTAGTGATCATGCAGGATATAACATAGAAAAAAATAGCATTTTTCTTACTTAAAAAATAAAAATAAATTCTTAAAATAAGGTTAAATAAGAACATGCAAAGTTT